GATTAAAGAGAACTTGCCCTCTGAATCTTGTGTTTGACTATCCTAAGAGAGAGGATAGGTCAACTTGAATAGATTGTGGGAAGTTAAGAGAATCAATAACCTTAAAGACCTACCACGTGACCGGAGTCCGAACGATAACCGAAGCCTTGAGAATCCCTTTGCCTAATCGCTACGCCGTCTTTCGATAGGTTATCTTGATAACGTCACACGAAGATCCATAAGATTGAGCGACAGACTCGCCGTTTATAGGAACGACATTATCATTCTGTAGTGTTTAACATTTAAACAATTTTGAGTAAATCAGGTTTAAAAAGATCTTATACATATTGATATTGAAACCGGGTACAGCGGCGAGTCAGACGCTTGATAATTAATTCTTTGCGTGACCTACGGTCGGCTTAGTCGAAAAGAGGCGTTTATATTTGGTCGGTGGTTTAGGTTCCGTGGTAGGTCTCTCTATTATCCGGGTAATTTCTAGTCTTTCTTTAACCTCAGCTATACCACACTACTTTAAGTAAACTGGACTTATTAACCACAGTTGTACCTAGTACGTCAGGTTAGCAACTTGACAGGGTATCATTAACGAGAGTCACGTGAGCACGATTAAGAGAGTCACGTGAGAACGCTATAACAAGAGGTCGGTTAAAGCCAGGTTCGTTTACATATAGATCTACATATTGCATAAGTTCCATTCTTGATATCAATATATAAATAAACTACTAAATGCATCAAAAAATCTAACCCTAACGAACCTGGCTTTAGACAATCCCATATATCCCTCCTGGTTAGAAATGTCTTCCTACCTCCGCAGCCGTTACAGCTGGTGCGACCGATGCGGCCAGTGCGGCTCGGGAAGCCTTAATTCAGAGTTACCGAAGGCACGTGCCACGTGACCTCGTCGGATAACAACATTTATTTGATTTTTAGATTAGCCATTTTACTCGGTTTACACAATATAGTATTCTGATTTAAATTTTCATTTTATAGATCGTTTTATTAATGTTTTTCATTAGATATATATTTACCAAATAATTAAGTAAAAATAATGAGTCCTTTTAATACGGAACATCCATATTTTAATAAAATCAGATGAATTTGTACAGTACGGGACAGCAAAAAATATCAACTTTTTATATATAAAATATAAAAATTGGTATAACTCGATAACAAATAATTTTAACAAAAATCTGTCTTTCAGATTTGTTGCTTTTTGTCTAAACTACAATTCTGTTAAAACAGATTTTTTATTTATTATAACTTTAAAAGTTATAAGATCTTAAAGTTACTATATATTTAAAATTTTGGCATTTACAAATAATTAATATATTTTATTTTAGCTAATTAAAATTTTTTATACATAATTACACGATAAAAGTTCTTTTCCCTTCGTTAAAGTTGCCAAATAAATCTTTGATAACTTTTAAAATTTATACCAAATAAGTACAATATAGGTTATATGAGGCCGAATTAAAGATTATCAGCAAAATCATATATTTTCTGCATGTAATATAGGTCAGAATTTATTTATGATTCTAAAATACCTATGTACCGTCTATAATTTATTTAACAGATTAATCGTACGTATTAAGTTTAATTAAGCCGGCATTAACATAATTCTGCATTTGAATTATTTAGTTACAATTAATGACTTTACAAAAATCCGTAACTGTACAGTACAGATTTTCACTCTCATGCACTTAAATGGTTATGGTATTTGTTTTTAAATTAAGAAAATAAAATTATTGAATAAAATTTTAGTTCACATGTATTGGATAAATCGTATTGAAAATTTTAGATTTCTACTAATTTAAAGCACATTATGAATAATTTATAATGTGATTAAATGTCTTAATGGAAAGGAGTTTGCATGGTAAAAATTTAAAACATATATAGCGTTTTACATCTAGCTTATAATAATATTTATTAGGAAATTAATAATAGACTTTGTCTTACGTAGAAAAAACAAAGGCTTATTGTAAAAACAATTGGGCGCAAACTTATCGTTATTCCGTTCCTAAATTGTACTCATAATGAATTTTGTTTTACCTAAATCAGCCCCAAAATAGTTACGTACGTAGTACGTATAAATTTTTAAATAATCTTAAATTGGAAGTGTATAACAATATGTATTAGAGTGTCCGACTCATGCGATTTAAAAAGCATTTTTATGCGATATACGAAAATTTGAGTATGCGATTTCAGTGCAAATAAAAATTAGGAATAAGGGTAATAAATCTAATAATTGGAAAAAGTTACTATACTACACCGCGATTGTTTAACTATCACATATCAGATTTAGATCAAAAAGGCACATAAATGTGCATTAGCTTTTATTATGCTGATATTAGCAATTATTGGTATGAGCACAAATATCGCACTAGCTACATCAAGAAAGATAATTTTTTTGTACATTTTATGCGCCTAAAATGTAATCTGGACACTCTAAATATGTATTATCAATAACGAACTTAGAATCAAAAAAAAAAACAATATTTTTATTAATTAATTATGTTGTAATCATGCATTCTTATTTATTATTGACATAAGGCATAAGTATTAGTTGACTCTGGATACGTATAACGAAACATAAAGACATAGCGAATTTTTTTTTTTTTTTTTTTTTTCAGAACTCGTCCGTTAGTCATAGAAAAAATCGACTGTAGATATTTTTCTTTTTATTAAAACTTGTGAAATATTAATGTAATTTTATTTGAATTTTTGTATTAGGTTACGTTAGCATGCATACTTGAGATTTTCATATCCTCTAGAGATTAATGTTTATGTTTACAGCGACATTGTACAATTTTAATGAACCTATTAATATGACTGTGTCGTAAAACTATACTAACTATTCTTAAATTTCCATTATCTTTCTCCTGATTTAATTAATTGCACTAAAATTTTTCTTAAATTAAATTCAGCATTTATAGTTTTTTGATCTATCATAAATCCTATACAGACCGATAACTTAAAAAATGTTATTCATAATGTAACCTACGTACAAAAATCATATAATGGCAAAAAAAATGCCATACGTAAAATGCGAATTATGTTATGTCGATATTATAAAAATTTCTATATTTGCTGACTGAATAAATTTAAATTTAGACAAAAATGTCGTTATTCACCCACATCAGTTATACACTACGTACAACCGTTATTAAAATCTTTAATTTTATTATTGTTATATATACAGGTAGCACAAAACTTTATGAAATGATTCTCGAAGCCTGTCGTGTAACAACATGATTAAAATTCCTATATTCCTAAATGCACAGAATATTCTAGGAATAGGAATTTTAGAGTAGTCGAATTCTATAAAATTGCAGTTTTTTCTCTTCACTGATGAAAAAAAAAAAGCAATATAGAAAATACTAAACTTATCTAATATAAAAGTGAATAAACAAATCTAATAATGAATAATCATCCCAATCCCTTTACGCCTTCTTTAAACATTCAAACAAATCTCTTGCGCACTGAACAACCAAATCCTGTGATTCAAATATTTGAACCAGGGGTGTATATTCCATTAGAAAATCTAAATTTATACGATTCCACCTATAACAATTCCTTTATATCTATTCAAAATGATAGAGGCTATCACTCTGATTCACAATTACCATCAACTGATCCAGTTGATGTTGATAATGGTTATCTTTCGGATTCTCAATATATTACTCCACAGCTTCCATATGATTTTTTCTCCATTAATTCACAGTTGTTGCAGACATCAAGCAATGAAACAAATGATGATTTTAGCGATTATCTTTCGGACAATTATGAAAGTTCATTAAGCGCTTCTCCACAATCTCCATATCCCTTTTATAGTAATATTAACGCAATCAGGCCTTTGGAACTTGATTCTCAACCGGTTCGTAGAGAACGCAGAAAGAAATATGTTACAACTGCATGTTCAAATTGCAGAGCTTCACATGCCAAGTGTTCAAATGATTTTCCTTGTGAGAGATGTAAAGAAAAAGGAATTAGTGATTCGTGCAAGTTTACTGAAAATAAAAGGCGAGGTAGAAAACCACGTAAATATTTTTCCATAAATTTTTTTTTCTCCTATCCTTAATTATAGTATATACTAACTTATAGGCAAATTTTACCAGGCTCTACACCTTCCACACCAGAACCAACGACTCCTGTTTCACCATCATCGTTCCATTCGCAAAGACCCTTTTAAAATAATAAGCTGTATGTCTGAATCTTTAATTACCTAAGGATAGTTTTTATGTGAGAAATAACGCTAATACCTTGAACATTTATGAACAATTTACAAATTCCATGAATTAGCATAATATTAATAATTTATATATTATATATTGCCTATTAACTTGTATTAATTATTAACGTTAATAAATTGATATTAAATGTATTTCCTCAGTCCAATATCCCAATAGGGTTCATCTGAAACTGTGAAAATAATTACCTCATAATAATTACTTTTTTTGAGTATAGATGTTCCTTTGTTCGTTGATGCTTTAAGCCAAACTATTCATTATTACATTTATAATCGACCTGCCAGGTTTGATTGCTCATAAAACAATTTGCATGGATTAAGGAACAAATTAGTCCTGAACACTCCTTTGTGGCCTTTTATTATATTTATCTAATTCATCTGTTTTACATTATTATACTATAACTGAGTTTATATAAATAATATGACTGATGCCAATTACTTTCAAGAATTTAAATAATTACCAGTTAAATTACTTCGCTTCTTATCCAAAAATGAGTTTAACCAGGAATTTTAGTATTAAAGAGATTATTATTTGTTTTATTAGGAAAATTGACGTTTAAGTATTTTCTAAGATGTTTTTTCTAGATAGATAATGAAAATATATTCATTTTTCTTTGCAGATATTGGAGATTCACCTTTATAAATGACTATCCATTTGCTAAACAGCTAGATGCATGTAGTTACCGTTACATACGTACAATTACTATACAATTACTATATGAGTGAAAACTAGGAAGTCTGAAAATATATTATTATGAATTTCATAATAATCTATTTTTAGATCGATAGTGTTACTATTGTGTGACGTGAAAGTAACTCCGGAAGATACGAAGTCAGAGTGCCGCAGTATCTGCATACGGTGTAAAGGTCTATTTGACCCTCCGGAAATACTGCGCTTCGACGCAGTACAATGTCCTATTTTTAGTTTATAGATTCTTGTTTAGTCTTTTTATTAGTACAAACATTTATTGTTAGAGGCATAACGTGACCTAGCGAAGGCACGTAAGAAACGTGACCAAACCATGACCTGGACCAAGCTAAGCCTCAAGCCCAAGACCTCCAATCGGCATATGACAGAAGCATTAATCAAATGCTATCTTGGGTTTGGCTCAAGGCGAAGCTCTGTTGAAAATCGCATGTGATGTCTCTGGGATTCAAATGGTAGAAGTTTGGTCATTTTAACTTGCAGATTCCTCCCTCTCGAATACTCAATTTAGTCATATTGAGTAAAAGCTCTAACTGTATTTCTCTTATATAAAAAGTTTTGTAGTTTACTTTTAATAAAACTAGTTGTGATATTAATAAAATAAAGGAACATCATTACTTCTAAGTTTAACTGAAGTCTAGTACTGTCCTATGCAATGTATCTGAAACAAACCTTACCTTGCTAAATCAAATCTGTTTCTATTATTATTTCAGGTTTCATTGTTGCTTGTGTTTTGGATAATTGGTATTAACTGGTTTTTTTTTTTGATATTTTTGGTATTTACTATGAGATACACAATGCTAAACAATAGAAAAATGATGTTCCTACTCTAAGTTAAAGAAAGAAAAGAAAAAGTTAGAAAGAAATAGAATTGAGTAAGAAAAAGAAAAAAACTTAGAAAGTACTAGCAGATTTTAACTATTTTGAGGAAACTTATAGTTAGAGAAAGAACAAAAAAGAAAGGTTTAGAGTTACTTTAAACTGAGTTCTAAAGACAAATAGAAAAAAATTTGAAATAAACAGTTATATTATCTTGGTCAAAGTACTGCATCTAAAAGACAGAAAAGAAAGGAAAAGAATTAATTAAAAAAATATATATATCACTACAAAGTATTTACTTAAAAACCAAAGCAAGAAAGAATCTAAAGAAGCTTTCAAAAAAAGACCTAGTACTTCTATTGTTGAAAAAGAAGTTATACTATTAGTAGTTACTTGGCTATTCAAAAATTAAAATGAAGATGTAACATACTTTTTGCAATTCTCAATCTAGAACAAATTAATAAACTTCTAGAAGACATCTTCAAAACTTTCAAAGATCTTGATTTTGATAATAAATAAATCTCTGAAGTTCTAGAATTTGTGTTAAAAGAAGAAAGTATACAAGAAATTGTATATTTATCTTTATACTTCTAATTATCTATTGCTTTAAAACAAAAGCAAAGTCTACTACTAGTAGCACTTACTCTGAAGACTTACTCAATAAAGCTCTTCTAAAAAACTATAATAATAACTGAGGTTTTTAACAACTATTTTGAAGTTCTAGATATTTAAAATGAAAAAAGAAGGCTAAAAAGCCTGAAAAAGTCAATTTAGAAAGACTTCTCTAGAAATTGACAATTGAATGCAATACTATTGCAAAGAACTAATCTCTTAAAATGAAGTTGCTAAAACTAGACTTAAAAAGGATAAAAAAAGAGTACTTATTTATTTTCAAAACCTGCAGAAATAGGTAATATAGATAGAGTAAACAATCTTAGAAGTTGCTACTAAACTAAAATCAGTGCTAAAAAAAAAAAAAAAACTATTAATATCTATAAGCCTCTAGCCTTTTAAATTTTGTATCTTAAGTAAATTTTAAGCTGAGAAGAACTGATCAAATGAAAGACATCAAATTTCAAACTAAGACCTTAATAAAGCCTGTAAAAATTAAATAAAGAAAGTCAAAGAATTTATGAAAATAACTAAAGAAAGATTAAAAAAAAGAAGTATCATATCTAGTTAAACTAGAAGAACTTAATCAAACTATTATTTATAATGAAGCTAAAGTATCAAAAAGACTTGTTGAGAAAGTTAAGAATCACAAGTTTTTATATAAAAGATCTAAAAATAAAGAAGTTTGGTTAGACACTCTAAATAAAATTTGAACTCTAATTAAAATAATGTTCGAAAGAATCAAAAATACTATCGGATCTGAAAGCATGACAACCAGATTCTGGAGCCTGTTCTGGAATATCTAGATAGAACTAGTGTATAAGGAAGTTTGGAAAAGCCAATGCAAAGATATAGAAGCTTGGGAGAAAAGAGAAAAAATCTCCAAGAAAGAAAAATACGCTCAGAAAGAAAAGGAAAAAAATGTTCTAAAAGAAAGGTCGTCAAGGAAAAAAACAAACTGCAAAATAGATGAGAATACAGAAAGTTGTAATA